ATATTTTACAGAGCGAATATCAGAATTCTAAGCAAATCTATGAATCATTCTCTTTAGAAATATAAGAAAGTAAAACTAGAAGCTAAAAAGTATTTTTTTAAATTTATTGAAAAGCAATAGTGATTTTTATATCGTTAACTTAAGAAGAACTCAATCAAACGTTTGGGATTCTTTGCAAGATAATAATAAATATTCAACTCTGTCTTTATCTAATGAATATAATTTAAAAACTATTTTCATAAATTCTGCTCATTCCTAATCTTTTGTTATTATCATTAATATCATAATTAATTTTAATCAAAAAAATTAAGATGTTTTAAAAGCAACAAAGAACTTTAGATAATATTTTATAAATTCAGAATAAAACAAAATTATTATCGATGTGTAGGATAGTAGATGATTATGTAAGATAAAATTCAAAATGTATTGTATTTTCCGAAAAAATATTTTAAATTATAAATACAATAAGAACTTTAGTCTTTATATCTAATTATGAAAATTTTAATGGATTTATGAAAGTAGCTGGCTTAAAAATGCCTTAAAAAATGGAAGATCCTAAATTGTTTATCTTAAGGAACCATCAGAATTTGTAATAATTATAATAATTTTATTATAGGCAAAGAGGTGGTAAAAGAGAACTAGAAATTTAAATGCTAGTGATTATAAAACAATTCTACATTATATTATGCTAAAGATTTTTATATTACTTTAAAGAATATTGATATATTAACTTTCTTTATCCAATTCTAGTTAGTTGAGAAGAATGAATTTATTTACGCAATATTTTATTTTATTTATGAGTCAAAACAAGGAAAAGCTAGAGTCAGAGTTATTTTAGTAATACTAATAGGCAATTGACCTTCTAGAAAATGGGAATGAAGCATAAGGAATACAGATATTAAAGGAGTTAATGCAAAATCAATCCATTATTAATCAGGATGATAAAAAGATTTTATATGGCATCTATATGTCTTTAGCTGAAATTCTGGTCTAAAGTGATTGCGTACAGAACAAATGCGAAGCTTTATACTATTATTATCAAAGTACTTTAATTTCAGATAATTGTTGGCAAACCTAAAGAAAAATGGCTTTAATATTTAGGCAATTAGGAATGATGCCTAGAGCTTTAAATGTTATATTGAAAGCGTATTAATTAAATTAGATTATATAGATTATAATTATGCAATTAACCTAATATCATAGAGGCAATATTATATCAAGTTTGTTCTATTTGTTTTTTAATGAATGATTAAAAATAATTCGAAATATATTTTGATAAAATGAGTGATAATAATAATTTGAAGCATAAAATTGCAGAATTGAAAAAATACTTTATTGATAAAAATAATGTTACTGATTTTGTAAAAGAACTTATATAAGAGTAATCTGAAATTCAATAACAATTAGAAAAGATCCCTTGTGAGTCTGCTTAGAAGTTATTGTATTTTAATTAAACATTCTCGTTTGAAATCAAGTTAGATACCTATGATTTAAAGAAATTCTTTAAAAAAATATAGAATATTTTACAAATTAATGTTAATTTTGAATCAAAAAAGTTTGATTTTATTCATAATGATAAATGCTTTATGTCTAATACAAAAATAATTGTCATTTCCAAGGAACAACAATAAAATTCAAAAGATGTTTCAAAAGAATTACCAAAAGAAAATTAACCTGTTAAATAATCAGAGAGATAGAAATCTAAAAAAACTAAATAGCAATAAGATTAATAATTTGTTTTAGATTAGATCATTCAATCTAATCATAATAAATTAATTGAATTATTAAAATAATTTGATGGGAATGAAATATTCTAACTCAATAATAATAACAATAAAATTTAAAGTGAGTAAAATGAAAACTAAGAATGCCCTGTAGCTAAATTTCTTTTAGAAAACTTAAACAACAAGTAGTTTTTAACCATAATTTAATTATTAGAAAAACTAATATCATTAATTTGCTTAGATTTTTAATAATATGATGATGCTCCCCTGCAATAACAATCAGATACTTTAAATGAACAACTTAAAAGCCCCTAAAGTAAAAATTCTAATAGTTCATCATATCGAGAGGCTCTTAAGGGTTTAATAAATTGTATCGTATGGGCTCAGCACTCTACAAACAAATTTACTGATGATCCTAAAATTAAATTAAGACTATTGGAAGTTGCATATGAAGAATTAACTTTTAGATTTAAAGAAAAGAAACCTAAATCTCCTGAGCAGCAAAACAAAATTAAAAACTTTATTACATTTATTAATAATATGAAATTGGAGCTTCTTTAGACAAACATTAATCAAATAATAACAGATAAAGCAGAGATTTAAAAATATTTATCAAGCTACTATAGAGTGATGGCCTATATTCATAGTGATATAAATTTTTTTTAAGGAAGAATAGCGAAATAATGTTCCTAATAATTAAATAACCCTGAATTAAGTTAAGAAATTTTAGATAAGATAAAATCTGCATAATTTTAAATTTCTTCAAGTTCACCACATTAATCTTAATAAATTCAACAAATTCTTACTTAATGGGAATAAAAAGAATAGAGGCTAGAAGATAATGAAAAAATAAGAACTTAAATAATTTATGTCTAGGATTATTTGAAATAGAATTAAAGTTATGATATGATTAAAAGATTGGCTATCATTTGTCTAAATTAATTTTATTTTGTGCAATAAAAAGAAGAACTTAAAATAATTTATAAATTTGTGCAACCTTTAATATAGCAATTTTTGAATATTCCCTAACCAGATCTTTCTATAGGGTTTATCTTTCTAAAATTTTCAATAATTTATTCTTTAATGGAATTAGATTCAAGTGAGTTTTTGGCTAAATTTATCGAAATTTTCTTATAACAAACAAATGGTTAAAATAAGCATCTACTTTTGATTGAGATTCTAAAATTTCATCATCTCAATATAAATAAACTTTTTAATTACATAAACATTGATCTAATTCTGTAAGAATTTATTAAAACTAAAATAAAGATGAAAAATAGATATGATCAATTAATTGAACATTACAAAAACAATGTTTCAAATGACTTAGAACTTCGATACTATTTGCTTCATTTATTAGATTTAAAAGATCAATATACACCTTAATTTATAGTTCAATAAAATGAGTTACAAATTGAGATTGAAAAATAAGAGACTAAATATCCATAGCCAGAATCATTTTCAAGTGCTTCGGAAGAAGAAATAGAATCTGATGAAGTTTTTTTAAAATCATACTAAAATATACATTTATTATAGGATCAAATTGACAGTTCTTTTAAATTAGGTAAATATAACTACCAGTTTACAACTAAAACAGTTGAATTCTTGTTGAATCATACTATCAAGGTAAACATTGGAGACCCAAAAATTATTGAACATATAAAAAGATTGGCTAAGGAAATCATAAGAGTTGAATATGGATTAACTACTAAAGAATTTAGTAAACAGTTTTAATATATATTTTTAAAAGGCTATTATCTCTAGTAAGAGTTTGAGAGAGATTTATCTGAAGCAGAGCTTTAATTTATGGGTTATTTTTTAACTCATTTTTCAAAGATCTTTTCGGATTAAAGATAATTAAATTAATTTACTATTGATATTATTAAGAGATCTTTGCAAAAATATACTGATCCTAAGATTTAGGAATTTGCTGAATGGTTATATTCTTAGATTTTTACAAAATAGAAATCACAAATAACTTCAATAAAAGAATTCTAAGATTGTGTTACTTAAAACAATTTGTAATGTGAATATAAATCTAACTTATATTATCAAATTTAAAAGTCAGAAGAAATAAATTTTAATGAAAATCAACCTAAATTTGATTTAAAAAATATCTGTTATGCCTTAGCCTATAAAGAATCACCATATTTATGGAATTACTTGTACCAAGGTACTTTTGAGTAGGCTTAAAAGTAATTTAAATTGAAAACCTAAACTGAAATTGATTGGTTTTTAAGTCAAAAAAAGATTTAGGCTTATGTAAATAAAAATCCCTTATTGAATCATTTAAATGAATATAGATATGTAATGGACTTGATTAAATTAAAGTAAAGACAAGTTGAATACTAGCATTCAAATAACGAACAGTTGTACAAAAAGACAGAATAAGGGTATTAATCACTTTATTAAAAATAATATAACATACCTAAAGATGCTTTTGAAATAGAAAATAATTTTAGAGTCTTATAATTATATGAAAAAAAAGTAATGAGAAAATATAGGAATGTTCCAATTGAAAGAATTAGTTAGAATTTAGATAATATTAACAGTCTTGTTAACTTAATCAAGTAAATGAAAGAATATGAAATTGAATATCTTTCTCAATCAAGTGATGGTGAATTAGAAATGAAGTAAGACCTTTACATAAACATTTACAAATTCATCAGAAGATTCTTAAGACATAGACTATATTATTAACTAAAACAATTAATCTAAATAGTTAAAGAAAAATTTTCTGATTTATTAAATTAAAGTTAAAGTGATCTTAAATTTGAGTTTTAATATGATAACAGGAAATTTAAAATATCAAACTTTAATTAAGAACAACTTGAGAAAGAAGAAAATACAGAGTTCAATAATGATGAAATTAATGTAATTTTAAATAACCTTTTGAATATATTTATAGAGAATACATAAAAATTGGTAAGAAAAAAGGCTTAAAGGTATATAATAGAAGCGTTTTATTATGCAACCCATTTAAAATTTAATAGTTAAGCTCCTATAGATTAAGTTTTTGCATAAATATCCTCAATATATCAACCTAATAGTAGAGATCTTGTGTATTATTACTTATAAATTGATAAATATAAGTGTGAGAAAGATGAAGTACTAAGTCATTACTATTCGCAAGACCTAATTTTTAATTACTAGAAGTCTAAAATATTAAAATTGATTATCAAGATTTTGCTCAAAATGTAAAAATACAAAGATATCTACTAACTTTTCGAAAAGTTACATAAGACTTATGATATTAGATTATATTAAGCATGCATTGGATTGTTAGAAGAATATAGAAAGATAGATGATAAAGTTTTAATCAGAGACATCATTTTGAAGTCTGAATCCTACAGAAGGACGACTGAGTTATTTAAACAGGATTCTATTGTACCATTGCTTAATAATATGTACATTAGATTTTATGAGAAAGATCAGCAAGAATAAAATGAAGGGAATTTCCTTAATGAAACATCAGAAATTAAATTAGAGAAAGGAAAGAAACTTATTGAGGATTACAGGGCCACAAAGAGAAAACCTGCTAAGCCAAAGGATCAATAATAATAAAGTTAATAATAACAATAATAATAACAAACATAAAATGCTTAGGCCCAAATTTAAACTTAATTAATTTAATAAGTTGTCGATGATGTTGGATAATATATAAATTAAGGAACAATAATTCAGAGTTTCAACGATTTTGATAATATATGAAATAAATATCATTATTTTATTCTTGATTGTAACACAGATGACATGATAACATAGATTTTCTTTACTTTTTTCTTTACATATTTTTATAATCTGGATATTCTAATTTCTTAATCAGACATATATGATTGCTTTTTATGAATAATTTTATTCAATTCACTAATTTCAGAAGTGATGAATTATGTAAATGTTTCAGTCATAAAGCCTTTTCTATTAACACCGTCTTCTTCTATGCCATCTGCTAAAATAGTGTTATATTTTAATGTGATGATAAGCTTCATAAATTTAAATATATATTCAAGAGGATTGACAAACTAAATTTAATTTTTTGGCATTAGTTATTTTGTAACTCTAATCATTTCCTCTTGAAAATTTGAAGGAATTAACATCTTAAGGATGTCTAAATCAGAATCATTGATTTCTTTTAATTATTCTTAAATTTTCATTGTTGTGAAATTTAATTCATCAAATGCTAATTTTCTATTAGTATCTAGAAGTGGAGCAGCATATATTGCAGGAAGTATAAGTGACTTAATAAAAAGTGATTGGGCAGCAGTAAAGAATGAATTTAAATTTGGAATGCCATTTGAAATCATGTAAACTTCTCTCCAAAGTTCTGCAGCTTCCCCTTCAGTACATTTTGAAAAATTTCCTTTAATAAATTTATGAAATTATTTAAAGGTAATAGGTTAAGCTGGAAATGCAAAAGAAAGAATTTTGTATCTATTAATTCTATCTATTCTGAAAATTTCCAGTAATAATTATAATACAAATCCTGTTTAAATTAATTTTCTGTCTTCTGATCTAATAAAATAGTATTATTACTTTTGCCTTCCACAATTCGTTCGTTAACGGCTCTTATAACTAAGGTTTAATTTATCTTATCAAATTATTCTAAAAACCTCAATATTATGGATTCAGCTTATTATACTTTCATGTAATGGACTACACCATAGATTGCATCAAATGTTTCGATCCAAGGTCCTCTTCTCAAAAGAAAGCGAGCATGAAGATAGAAATATAATTCTTCTAATGAATAGATGTCATTTAAAAAATGCCTGAATTGAACCACTTCCCAAACTTTATCTAATCTAGGTACCATCAAATCTAGGTAAAAAGTGTGCAATTGTTCTTCTATCTTGACCTTAATTTATAGTGTATAAAATATACTCTTTTTGTATCTTCAGGAAATATTATAACTTGATGATTCTCAATTGTGAATGTACTTAACCAGGAAATTACATAACTTTAAAAAGAAATATATGTATTTTTTTGAAACTCAATAAACATACCATCCAAGATAGCTCTAAGTAAACCCATAAAATTATTGGAAATTGGCCTTATTTGTAGATATTAAGTTTCCTAATCAACAAGTCTCTTTTCTAGAAATAAATTGAAAGGCGGATAATTATATCTTAATGTTTATAACTCTGCCTCTTCATCTCTGCCTACGACCAATCTTTTAACATCTACATATGCATCTACTAATTTTGAATCATACTCTTGGACATTCTTTAGGAAACTACTCATCATATACCTTTAAAATACATGATCTTCATCTAAAATTTTGGTTATTGCTTATAATTGTATCATATCACCTTCAACTCTACTTTAAAAAGGGGCATCAACTTCCTTACTTCTTTTAACTGTCATTTCATCTATTCTATCTTACAACATTCTGATTTTTTCAAAACTCTTTTGCATTTATTTTCTTTCTGTTAGTGTATTTAATTTGCTCATTTACAAATCTTCATATGTCATATAATAAAGCTCTCTATATTGATCTTTTTATTCCTTAGAATATGAGGCTTGAAAATTTAAATCTTTTAGTTTTGTTTCATAGTCTGAGATTTTATCTTCTAATTTCTTAAGTTACATTTAATGTTTGAATTCAGTTGATTTGAGAGTTTAAATTTATTGTTACAATTAAATCTATTTATTGTTATCATCGTATGATTTATTTTATTATTCTTCAATTGTTTTATTGAGTAACTCAATTTTTTATTATAATTGAGTGGCTAAACTATCTTTGTTTTGATTCATTAAAAATTATAGATTCTAATTTAATAGTTCCACTTTCTTTTCAAGCTACACGTTTATGACAGCCAATTCATTAGATCTCTAAAAGGTTCTTGTAACATTTTTAGCGTTTTAATTTTAACTTTCCATATATTTTATCATTTGTGATTAATCTTCAATTAACCTGCTGTTATTTTACACCTGCTCTCTACTTTACTTCAATGCAAACTAATATTCTTTTATTTCCTTATTTTTTTCATCTAAAATTTACAATAATTATTCAATCACTTTTATGAATTAATTCACCAAAGGATTAACTTTTTCATTTTCGTATTAGACTGCTAATGCTATGAAATGATTTACTTTATCATTTATTTAAGGAACCTTTGTTTGTATGTCTCTTAATAATTACTGAATTCTCTATTATTCAAGTTCTTCAAATTGTGCAATTTTTTCTCTGTGAATATATATCATTGAAGCATCTAAATCAAACATAAAGCGTTCCGAATTAATTAAAGGCTTAGAAACCTAACTTCTTAAAGTCTATGGTTATTCAGTCGTCTAAGTAATAATTTTATTATTATTAAGTGAATTAGTCAGTTTTTAAATTACAACTTTTTATTATGTGCTTGCACTGATTTTATGAAGCTAAGGCTCGAACCTAGGTTTATTAACTTCTGGGAAATCAAAGGTTCCTGAATTATTTTATGACTGGGACTTTTTCATAAAATTAAATTAATATCTATAAATTAATACTCATTTCTATTCGTAATCTTTGCTTACAAACTTCATCTTTCTGCAATTTTTAAATAGAGTTATGGGTAATTACACATATGAATTTTAATTGATCGCTCTTATATAAATAGAATCGATACTTTTCAAATATCTTAAAATTATAATATTCCAACTCTTCTAAGTATTGCTCAGTCGGTGTTAAATGCAAAAATGCTCTGAATGATTAAGGTGGAATCTTATTCTAAAATGATGTAGACTTGATCATTTAGGATCTTGCAAATGCAGCCACTTCTAAAACTACATCATATAATTCTTCCTTTGGCTCACCTTGTATTCTAATAAAGTAATACCTCTAATTCTGTCCCAAAGTGACCTAACATTGATGTTATGTTTAAATTTAATATCCTCTGGTAAACTTAGTTTATAATTTTAAAGTGTGAATGGCACTCTCCTAAGATAATCTGTAATTCCAACTGCTTAAGCCGAAAACTCTGTTAATTATTTTAGATCCTGATTCTCTATATCCATCCTCATCAACCTCAAAAACAATAAAAATTGCGACCCTCTGTTTGCTTCTGCCGATGTCGCCATATCTACAAGATTTGCAAATTCTCCCCTCTCCACTTGTTATTTGCGATAATTTATCATTTTTTGAAAGAGATATTTTGGTAATGGGTTGTTTTTGCAACTGTTATGAAGGCAAATTGATAAAGGATCTCTTTAAGGATTATCTAAAAAAATCTCAATATCTTAAGGAATATTACTTAATCGATTTGATCAGACCAATATTAAAGTTTGCCTACTCCAAGGGATCTCTCTTTAGAGGTTTCTTCAATTCTGGCTAATTCATTATGAAATTGACAAATGTTCAAATAATCTTATCTTTATTCAATGAAAAATAAGTACCTCACTTGTTTGGGGATATGTTTAGATATTGCAAAGCTGATCCAATCAGTCTTTTGGACTAAATCAGAGATATATTTTTGAGCATTCTCAAGTTTATAGATCGACTTTTGAGGCTCGGTGCAAAATTTAAAGACAAACTATAATTTATTCATATTTATCATTAATAATTAATTTTGTTTCCATTTTTCTTTTCTTCTATTGAATAACTAAAAAACTGCTTATCATTAAGGATGACAGTCTCATCATTTGGCTTACTAGATTTTTATTGATTAGATTTGCTCATGTATTAATAGAGCTGATTCCATTTCTTGTATTTTTCTGAGATTCTTCTATCCTGATTGATGAGATCAACAAAGTAATAGTACAACTGTTTGCTAAACTTAAAATATGATAATACGGATTGTATAATTATAAGTATTTTGGTAGAACTTGGTCCCAAAAGCATTTTACATTTTTTGATGTGATTATATCCTCTGTCCCTGTTTGTTTCATAACAATTTGATTTGTTATTCTATTGATTTCAATTTTAATAGGATGAACACCATAGGAAAAGGGACTCAAGAACCTAATTTTAAAGAAGTGCTAAACCTTCTATCTACAACAATCTGATTCCCATTTTATTTGAGACTAGCCTTTAAACTATACTGTCCTTCATAAAGTGGAGTGCTAATAAATTTGAAGTAAAATGAAGGAATCTAATTATTTTTGGATTTAAAGAATAAAATTTTCAAAAAAGGATGACTGGTACCTGTAATTAAATGTCCTGGATCGTCCCAATAATAATCTTCAATTGCTTGTTAGGTAGCATTTGAATTGTAATTTATTTGATACAGAATCTATGAATCATCTTATTAATAAGAGACAACATATTTTCTAATTAAAGATGGATATATATAAGGAAATTTGTACTTCAGATTACTTTCTATTTAGGTTGTTTTATTGTTTTTTTTTTATTGAATATTAGAGTTGCAATAATAATAAAGTGATGAAATATTAGAACTAACCAGTAATGTTGTTTAGTCATCTTCTGGGACCATGCAATAAATGTTTTTTTTTGGATCAAATTAGAACATCATAAATAAATAATAAACAGGTTTTTTTTAAGATAAGTTAGGCAGAGTAACAATTGCAGTATAATGATTTTGGATTCCCAAACTAAGCATAAAATTTCCACATTAATATTCGTATGGTTCAGCTAATTCGAATAATTCCTTTTTATCGTATTCCAAAGAACTTAATAGCATAGGATGATTAAGTCCAAAGAAGCTTAAGATATTATCATCATTGGTTAAATCTATGCATTCAAGGGATTATTTTGGTTATTTTACATGCTATGATGATTGTTTGATGGGTGGACTTTAAAATTTTTTTTGTTTTCGCCTCAATATACTATTTCTCGATTGTGTTTTCTTAAAATTGCCAAACAATCGATTCTCAAGTTGTGAACCACCTCTATTTTCATTCTTCTAAGCATTTTGATTCACTTCCAAACTGCTGTCATTTATAGTGATCATTTCAGATGGCTGTTTGTTAAAAGTTTCTTTTGAGTTAATCCCGGTTTCTTATTAAGGTTGAGACATTGATATAAAACACTTTTCATCTTGATCTTGCTATTCCAATTGTATTTAAGATTAATTAGTAGCGGCTAGATTGATACATTAAATCTAATCTACAATCTTATATTCCTCTTTGTTTTTTCTATATTAACACAATATTTACTTATTAAGCTCATTGCTCTCTTGGAGTTCTTCTTGTGATCTAATTGGACTAGAATGGTGAGAAATAGATTCTTTATTATCAATTTATTAATCAGTTCCTTTTGTTTCAAGTTTCTTATCTATAAAATTTTAGAATTGGTTATTTTAGGTGTTCCTTTTGCTAGACTTGCTACGACTTCTGCTCCTACTCTTGCTATCACATTTATTTTCCCTTTTCATTTCGAGAGAAAATTAAGAATTTATTTAAATAAACATGTAATATTGCATCAATATATATGTAATACTAAAAATAGCCAGATATTAATATATATTGAGTCAATATTAATATTTAATTTATATGATTCTTACTTAGGTTCATGTATGAATTATTTATTGAAACTTCCAATTGTTAATTCTTATCAGAATCCTTAAATTAACATTATTAAAATAAATATAAATAAAATTTATTATCCATCTAATAAATTCGTTGAATGAATAAATGGCACACAGAAGTAATTCTTAAAGAATAGTGATATTTTACAGTCTTCAATCAACTTTCTTAGGTAATTGCAAATGTTAATTGAAATTATGAATATTAAATCAGTATTAGCTGAGAATGTATCATAATATACAAAATAAATTATTTATTTCTGAAATAATGTTTAGAATCAGTAGGTTATTTGATTATTAAATGTTTTTAAGATAAATCATCTATTGTAAAACAATCCTCCATAGTTTCTTGAATACCCATTTGTTGTGCTTTTATTATGATAATCATTCATCACATAATTACTTTTCTTTAATCCTTATTGAATTGCTATTGTAGGATCATATTATTTCAATAAACCCAATTCTTTGAGCTAATAAATATTTTTCTCTAGCTGTTTGTTTCCTAATATTAAACTTGCATCCTCGAGTATTGAGTCCAAGATATCACCTTCCTTTCTTTTCAATCGACGAGTACTACTTTAATTCTCAACAAACAATGTTTCTTTTAGTTTTTTCAATGCAGGATTAGAATTGGCCATCGATTATGATCTTCTATTAGTAAGATCTAATCTGGGTAGTTTCTCTTGAGATGATTGCATTTATAAAATATTTAATAATTATTCATTGGAGTGACAAATTATTTATTAAATAAAGTGTTCAATAAAATTACTCATTTAATGACTAATTAAAAAATAAAAATTGACTTATTTTAAAATAAATAACATCTTAAAAAACAAGACTATTTAGATGATGTTTAGTAATTCTACCAAATAATCAATTCTCTAATATTAATGATATACTCTCCCTTATTTATCCTTCTTTATACAAATATATGGTATAAACAGATTTTTGATTTTAAGGTTTATTTTAATAAAATCTTTATTAAAGAAACTGTAAAGCAATCTTGAAATAGAATGAAGATCATAGCTCAAAGAAGACATTGTATTTAGACATTTTATAGATTTGCGATAATTCTTCATTTTTATTGAAGATATTTGAAATGAATAGATCTAATCTCCAGAATTTCAATTATTCAACAATCCTTCCATTTCCTGTATTTTATGGACTTCAGAAAAATGAATTATTGATCATAGGTATTATTCATATTTCTATTAGATTTAAAAAGGAGGGGATATGTTCATCAGGATGTATTGCTATGGGTTCAAATATAATAAATTGCAATTAGCTCTCAATATGGTAATCAGGTAAGACATAAGATTTTGAACTTAATATAATCTTGATGTTTATAAAAATTGTCCAGAAGTATAAACAATCTAGAATGATATTAAATTTTTATGGACTTATAATATAAATCTCTCAGGAGATCCAATTTTGATTTAATATTATCCAAAAGTGACCAGACTGATAATTTATTAATTATGATTAAAAATGATTTGTGCATTGGTCAATATTTTAAGAACTCAGAATTAAATCGAGCTCTCCCAAATTCCATTTAAATCAAAATCAATTTAAAGATTCATATCGTTATAATAAAACTTCAACAATCTGAAATGGATAAAATAAAATAGAGTGTGTTTGGTAATCTAATGAAGATCATAAAATGAATTCAAAAGCCACGCTTACTGAATTAAATATAACATATATATATTAGTAAATCAGGATGTATTTGAAACGAAAACGATTCCTGAGCGTTGGGGACCTCTATTTACAAATCTATTTCTTCTTATTCCGAAATCCATATCAGAATTAATCTCTGTTGAAGACTGTTTTGAATAGAAGTCTTCTTCTTTTTTTTTTGGGTCGGTGCAAAATTTGATATTTTAGGCTCGAAGGTAATTAAGTATGGTTCTAATTCTGGGATTGGGTTTATGGTATAAATCTAATTCGAGGGAGTCAAGACTGGAATTTAATTCTTCCGACATTTACTTATTTATTTATATGAATTAATAGCATAAATGTTAATTAAAGACCTTGGGTTATATCAGAAATTATCATTCAGAATTTGCTTCTAGAAACATTATCAACCACACTCTCTATCATAAATATTCTGCATCATAAAATTATTACTACACAAAAGAAATAAACGATATTTTTGGTAAGAACAGAACACCGGCTACTATTTAGTTTTATGTAAGCAATTCGTGATAAATTAAGGACGATATGCAATATTCAGATTTAGGAGAAAGAATGAAGAGATATTACAGTAATCAGGAATCATGTGCTAAAATTAAATTACTATCAGAGTTCTACAAATATCATAATGATTTACCTCGCTTTACTGTTCACTAGAATATCATTAAAATTTTGGATGTTTACTATGACAAAAAGAGAAAATTGGAATACTACAAAATACAAAGATAAATAGAATATGAAAATAGAAACAATCCAAATAAAACTCCAAAAGGTATTATTGGAGATAAACCTGAACAAACAGAAACAACTCCAGAATCTGAAAGCAGTCACAATTCAACCATCAACAACAACGTTGAAAACATTCTTTAAGATATAAAATTATAAGGAGATTAAAATTAAATATGCTAACAAGAAATAATTAAAATCTCTAAGATCCAAGAAGATCAGAAAAGCGAGATAATGGACATGTTGCAAGCTTTTAATTCAGATGCAACAAATAACAACAAGAATGTTTAGAAATATTAAGTGTTCAAGAATTAACATCCTTCATTTAAAAAATCATTAAAATTAGAAGAGTTTCTTTTTTCTCAAACATCAAGAACTTAGGTTAAGTGCTCCAAATAAATTAGAGTTCCATTATCAACTAGAATTGCGACTGATTCTGTAAGTAAGGTACTTAAAACATCTTAAGAAAAAACTAAAGAAATTCAAAAGGAAAGTCTTATTTAATTATTTAACAAATATTCTAAATTAAGTAGAATTAGGAGTGAAAATAAAATTGAATATAACAAAGAAAGCAAATATTCAGTATCTGAAATGAAACAGCTTGAACTTAAAATTATGAAATCTATTGTAGATATTGAAAAAAACAGTCCTAAGAACAAAAAGAATAAGTCTGCTCAAAACAACAAAGAATTGCATTAAATATTATGTAAAGCAAATAAATTAGATTCTTGTAGAGAGATTAATAGAACTTCTTAAATAAAATGCTCTTCAAATTAATCCATTAAAGTCAATAATAACTAAATTAATTGCTACAAAATTTCAAAGAATTTTAACACTCACTTGAATCCAATCTCCTATTCCAATAATCCTTATGATCAAAAGAGATTAAATCACAAACAGCTATCAAAATTAAAGGCAAATGATTTAAGAAAATTGATTATTTACAAATCTGACAAAAACTCATTAGGAGAGAAAGCTTAAAAAAGTATTCCAAAATTAAACCTTCAAACTATTAACGCATTTAATAATCTTCAAACTAGCTTGACTTTTAGAAATCAAACAAGTTCTGCATAATTATTGACTCCAAAACCATTGACAGTGAGATGTAGAATAAGTAATTTGATTAATTGGTAAGTGAAAAACTTATAACAAAATAACACTTAATATAAATGATATTAGTAAATTTTTGTCTTATATTTATATAATTAATCAATTGTAATTATTCGAAGTTTAAGATACATAGGATCAATTACAATAACTGAATTGTATAACGCCATTTGAAATAATACAAAGTATTCTAATACTAATCTTTAGATTTGTCATTTGGAACATTCGAAATAAATTATAGATACAATTAGTATGTGAAAAATTTGATTTGTACATTGTGGATATTTTCAATTATAATCAATTGAATGAAGTCTTTAGAAAATACAAGGGACGAATCCAATAAGCTATATTATTCACTTTGCTGCATTAAAAGGTTTTAGAGAGAACTCCATAAACATTTTAAAACTAATGTTGTATGTACTTTGAATCAATTATGATGTACTTAAGATTATAAATGCTAGAAGTTTTATTCAGATCTTCAGCTACAGTTTATGACCCTGTTGAATTTTTAGATGATGAGGCTTCAATAAAACCTCAAATCCACATGTGAAAAACAAGAAGTAATCAAACATCAGATCATATCATTATCAAAGAAAAGTGGATGCAACCTTTGCTTAAGATATTTTAATCAAGCTGAGGCAAGCAAAAATGATAGGTATGGAAGGGTTCCCAACTAATTTAAAAATGAATTTTCATATATTTGGATAAGTAGCTTTAGGGAATCTCGAATAATTATATGAATTTGGAATTGAGTAAAATACTCATGATGGTACAGGTATTAGAGATCATATTCATGTTTAGATTTAGGAGAGACTCACATAGTTGTAGTATACTAATCCAAATAAAACAAGGAAAAATGGGATGGCAAGAGAGGATTGTCCAGATTCATACAATTTTATTAAATCAAAATAATGATGTATTAGATATCATCTACCCATTTTATTACCAGCTCCTTTTTCATTGTCATCTTTCCAATCATCCCAGTTTCTATCTTTCAATGTTTATTAGTCTGCCCAATAATCTTTGTCATCATCCTTATCTTATTCTAGTTTTTGTTGTTCCTCTTATGCCTTTTTCATTTTGGCTTCTTAATCTTAAGCAAACTAGAATCTATTAAGAACAGTACTTTCATTTCTGAATCAGCGAATTCATCTAAAGTCATATTTGGAAGTCTGGCTGCATTGGGTTACCAAACTTCGGTCACATGTTTTTGTCTAAGTTCAGATTCAGTTTAGCAATGTTGGCAGTGTGGATCAAAGAATTAAGGTTGCATAGTGGGTTTCTATATGATATTATAAATTGTTACTGGAATATTCCAGACTTTCATTTTTGGGATTGGCTTTTCTTATTGATCCTAATATTGCTATTGAAGTTGTTTATCTTTTTTCATTTGCGATTTGAACTTTAGTATATCCAATTCTTATTGATTAGTATTCAGAATATCCAATGAGGATATAATTTTTTAATTTAATTGCAATGTTATAATTTCTCTCGATAATTTATCATCATCTAATTTTTACAAGTTCTAAAGTGGTTATTATCAAGTATACCTGTATCTGTTTATTCAAGGTTTGCTGTTCCTTGTAGTTTGCTATCTTGTCATCTCTGTTAATTTATAGAGTTTCGTTCTCCATCATGGATTTAAATAATTTTAATGGGATTCCTTTTAGTATTTCGTAATGTCTCAATAGTTTCAGAAATTCCTTCACGTAATAATTAGATGCTTCAACGTTCTTTTATCTAATGTCTTCATTTTACACTTAAGCTAATGCCCAACCAACATAGTAAGGCAATAAGAAAAATTTAAGATGTTCTGTTTTGATTTCATTGAATTCTTCATTTGGAGAAAAAATGTGTTGCTTAATAATTGCTTATTGGGTTTGTTGAAATTTCTCTATCAACTCCATAAGTTTATCATCCCCAGGATTTTAGTCCTCATAACTATTTACTTGTTTGAGCAATGTATCAAATTATTTAAGAATTTCTTCCTCACTATTCATTAAAAATATTAAAATAAATATGGCTGATTCAGATGAGAGATATCAAAGAGCATTAAACAATGAATTCCATTCAGAGTTTCTAGAATTCGAGGGTCAGGAGGCAAACAAAGGGATTGATGTGAGAGATCAATTTGGAAAAAGATTACACTATTGGAGGTACGAATAATAGACAATATTAAAGTGCAGGAGACAATATATACACCGTTACATTCAAAAAGATTAAAACTAGGTTGCATTGGTTTTTCAATCCTGACACTTATGATAAATAATCAAAGAAGCACATTTAAAGACAAGCCTAGTTATATAACATCTAAATTATTTTGGGACTCATCTTTGTATGTCAATCATGAATATCAAGATAATAGCACCTTTATCTATTGCTATTACAGTGATTTAGCCAAGAGTAGCAAGAGCAAAAAGAGAATTCCTAATGCATTAATATGACAAAATTAAGTAGATTTACAAATTAACTAAAACACTAGCATGATTTCCAAAGCCTTGGGAGTTAAATAATAAAAAATGGATTTTAAGACATTAAAAAGGTTTCTTTACAAAAAAGAAGAATGAATATAAATATTATTAAAATATTATTAAGTACGATTAAGATAAATACCCTTTATAAAAGAAATTTAACTGTTGATATTGCTAAAGTTGATAATCTTTGTATTACATCAATGAGTTGATTTCATATTGATTAATTATCAAAAATCACTTTCAAAATCATCCATATTTTTTGATTATGTCAAAGGAAACTCATCTAAATCCCTACTATTAAAAATCCAATCAACTACCTCATCCTCATTTTAATTATCTTTATTGTAATTGTTTTCCAAGGATGTTCTTTTGGTTTTTGAGAATTTAGATATGCGTAATTTTAGTTCGTTAATTTATTAACATAGTTATTATTTATCATCCTTTTATAATTTGATTTGATATTCTAGATCTTACATTTATGACAATGTGTAATAGGATCGTTGTTATGCTATTAATAAAAAGTCATCTATGATTTTTTAATTATTTAATATTTTTCTATTGTAATTTTCAAGCACATCATCCATGTCATCTACTGTAGAATCCCCTACTCCCAACTTACTCATAAAATCTTTGATTTCCATAGACTTTTTCATATCAAATTGTTGATAAACACTTACATTTTGTTTAATTTATTTGAGCTATTCAGATACTTTTGATAATCTTATTTTATATTGTTTATATTTTTTTTCTAATACCATAATTTGATTGTCTTAGACATTGATTTCAATTTAATCCATATAAATTTCATTTTTTAATTATTTAATCTAATTTACTAGTTCATTTTTATGCCGAATAAGCTACTTTTTAGATTTACGCCTCATGACAATCATAGTGTAATTTTTGAAGGCATACTCCTCATTTTAGTCAATTTTCTCATAGTTCATCGATTACATTCGCTTCTGGTCATCCTCTAATTGTTTTAACTAATATTTTACATTAATACCTGTTCTTTAAGTTATACAATCTTTTATTTCATATAGTAGGACTCAGGATCTAATTTACTAAGAGGTACTGAGGTAAATGAGAAATTAGTATCGCTATTAAGAAAGGATAATTGTTGCAGTTAATTCTTTTCGTAATTAATCTTTCCTCTCAAGTATTAAATGTTCTGCATGATTTAATTGATCTAGATTTATGTATCAATATTCTGGACTAAAGATTTGTCGGAATAATGAGAAATAGATTTATATTTGCTCTCAGGTGAATAAAGACTGCTGATTTTGGGTCTGCTGAAGTAATACTCTTATTAGACTAGTTTCATTAATTTATTAATAAAAATTTATATGTTATCCAACGATCGCCAACATTTTGTAAAACTTGTTAGAAATCCATAAATAAATGCAATTTAATAGTTAACATAATTAGTTACTCGAGCTAGCAGAACCAAGAGTACTTTGTAACCCTCCACCAAAAGAGTAGCTGAAGTATAAAAATGCGAAAAGGCTGATAAATAAGAAAAAGTAATACACACAACAAGAGAAATCAATTCACAACAATCCATGAGGAATTACTTTGATAACTCCATTTAAAAAAACAATAAAGAAAATTTACCATCCAAAAAGCTTTTATATTAAGAAAATCGATCACAAACACCCATGGCTTAAAAGAGCCCAATTTCTATCAATACTCGAGGAAGGGGATCTGTTAGTCCTTTAAGATGCATTCCATAAAATCTAACATCTAAAAGTTCTAACAAATCAGCTTTGAAGTAATCTGAAGACCCTCAAATTATGGATATGGTTGATAATCTAAAATAAAACATTTTAAGAGATCTACAAGAAGTAACTAAGAGATATCAATCTAATAATCCGAAACCCATAGAAATGCTCCAAAAATAAAACGAAAAAATTAAGCATTTATTAGATTATAAGGAACCTTAGTTAAAAGTGCCTTATTTTGACTACTCTAGTCAAAAGAGCATAAAACATCCAGAGATATTCAATAAGGAAGAGAACTCATAGAATAAATAACAATTTTTAGAATAATAGTCTTTGATTTTATAGCAACAGTTGGAAATTATAAAATAGTAATAAGAAGCTTTAAGATATTAATAACTATCAGTTTTGAATAGCAAATCAAATTTAAGTAGTTTTTATAATCAAATGCGTAAGTAACAGAATGAGAGTATTGAAGATATCTACGCTAAATCTCAATTCACAATCAGCAACTTATCATCAATTATACCAGTTGAAGTATCGGCGAATTAAAATAAGAAAATTAATGTCTCTTTTGAAAGCAGCATGGAACAAAATCCCATTAATCTATAATTAGAAATAATATAAGCAAATGATTGTAGAACAACATTTGGTCCTTCTTAATTGGAATCTTTTATAAAATCACCAACATAAGTGGAACCACAGTTGTTTAGTGAATAATAAATTATGAAAGAAACTGTTAAATATGTTCAATTAGATAATAGTTAAGGAAAAGTATCATCAGCCAAAAGATATAGCAATGATGATTAAGAAGTAGTTAAATAATAGGAACTTATTGAGTAAGTGCCTCCTCCTTCAGCTTTCTCTAATAAGTCTAATAGATATGACTAATTGATGTAAAACTTTTAAAGTCTACGAAAATTAAGTCGAGAGCCTAGTTTTGTAATAGAAACAAAAAAGTCAGTTCAGATGAATGATCTAAACCATATAAGCGATTTCGCTATTATGGGTAGTCAAAGAGAGAGTATCGCATTATGTCAGACAAAATTAATTACTTTCTAAGAAGTAAATAATAGTCAAGAAGAATGTGTATAATCTCCTACCTCGATTTTAGGTAAGCAATAAATTTTAACTTTTGAATAAGAGCTAGAATAAAAGTCTCTTTATTCAAATTAATCCTAATATGATTAAAGATCCATATAATAGTTACTATAAAAATCTAGTTTAACCTAATAATAGGCTTCTTCCTTTTAAAAATAATCTATATCAATATAACAAAGTACAGAATAAACTAACAGAATACTTGAGAGTATTAGATCTAACGAAAGTTTAAAATAAAGAACAGCAAGCTTTACTGAATTTTTAAAAGTAAAGGATGATTTACCAATCAAAATAACAAATGCCTAAAAATTATCCATAAGGCCTGGAATAAGTAAAAACTAATATATAATTTAGGCTTCCTTTAGTATAAACAATAAAATAAATACTGATTATTACTTCTTTATAATATCATAATTATCCATACTTATAAACTAATTTATATTAGCATTTTCATCAATTGAATAAGCTCTAATTATTTTATAATATGTCAATATATTTAAAATTTTGCATGATTCTGAAATTAGACATAATTCTTTTCTTGAACATATTTATTACAACTTCTATATGATCCTTCTCCTATTGAGTAAACGAACTTATGCTACTTTAACTTATTTTCTTTACAAAATTCGTAATTTTTTATTACTTTCTTTAACTTTATTTTAAATCTAATTTTTTATTTTTAAGGATCATGATTAATATGAAGATACTTCTTTTTTCAAATTGATTTTTCAAAAATGATTAAGGTTCTATTTTAATCTTTTTGTAAAAGCTTACAATTAAAAAAATTATTATCTTAAACCTATCTAATTCTTTAAAATATGATTAATTGTTGTTAATTGGTGAATTTAATGTAATAAAATTCTGAATTAATTCTTAATGAACCAAATGAAATAGTCTTATTTAAAATATTTTGTAGAAGCTTATTTAAAAATAAAAATAATTTCAATTATTGTTGAAAAATTGACTATCTTGTTTCTTAAATCTTATGTAGAATCTATTGGAATTATCTAGTAAGGTCAGAGTTGAGATGCTGTATGATATCGCTAGTAAACTTATTATATTTTATAGATCCGATTGTGAAATTTTATGAATGTTTACTTGAAAATCTATATATATGACTTATTAAAAAAAAATAAAGAAAACATCTATGTACTCTAATTTAAGATAATCAATAATTGATGTTTTCAAAGTAAGTTATCCAAATTTTTAAAGCTGACTTTTTTTGTAGTTTATTTTTATCTTGGAATGGAAGGGCTGATGGCTACTTTACGATTTCTAAGAGTGTTCTTAAATGTTTATTTTAAAAGTTATTCTTCGTCAATAGTTAATGAAATGCCTTCGTAATTCGTGATCATTCGATTCCAAATTTTGAACTTTCTATTGATTGATCAAAATATACTTTAGATTCCTTTTGTTTTGGATCTTAAAAGTAATTCAAAGAAATCAAGATCATTCCAATTATGATCAAGAAAATGAGAGTTTAAAGTCCAAAGTAAGTCACTGAAGGTTACATAATTAATTTTAATTATATAAATAAAGCAATATAAGTAAATTTTAGGATTTTATATAATTAATCTGCTTGTTTGAATCATCTAATGACGTTTGTGTTGAATCTAAAGCAACTCGATTTCTTTTTCTTAGAAGAATGACACTTTATATTATAATTATTATCCTGAGTATCAGTTAATTGTGAAGAGAGATTTAAACCAATAGTCCAAACCTATTAGATAGGTTTAAAGGCGAAAAATAAATATAGAGTAGCCAAAATTGGAATTCATCAAATTTAATTTATTTTCTTGTTCATTTTTTTAATGATGTGATACAATTAATAATCAAATATCAATTTTAAATTGATTCAACTTTTTATCTAATATTTTAATCAAATTTCAACAATAATGTTAGTTTACTATAGAATTAAAATCAATATGAAAATTAACAACCCTAAAGCAAAGGTATTATTGTTAGAAAAAACCATTGAATTAATTTTTGTTATCATATTTAACAATAAATAAAAATATAGAGTGTCATTTTTGATTGTTCTTTATCTACATGCTCTCAGGGGCTTATAATTTTGGTTTTTCTGGACTGGATATTAAATGAAGTGCTAAATAGGCAAACATTCTGATTCCTATAGCTAATCCAATTAATATATAGCAGCATTCCCATTTTGTCAAGGTGATAGACAACATATCAACTGGTGAGCATTGTTAACCTGGCATACATTCGTAAATAACGTCATCAAATTCATTCTAAAAATAAAATTAAAGATTATACAATGACTGCTGCCTCAAACCCATACTTGAACATTGATAAGTAGGTGAAAGGGTAGAATATATAAGGGATATTGTCTTGATTCACAAAGAAACCTCCCAAAATCATAAATGGAATAACCAAAGCAGGGACTAGTGCTGTAGCCACTTCAATCTTTGGAATAACAGTTGATAATAGCAATCCATATGAGACAGCGTATTAATATGTTAAGAATTAGACGAAAATAAGCATGAAGAATTTGCCTACATTTTCATCGCTTAATCCAATAACATAGTAGACTATTATAACACAAAGGGAAGGATAAACTATTTGGAATGGAAATTCAGCGAGTGATCTTGCCCAAAAGAATGAGTGAACACTATAGGTTTTGTTTATTCTTTCTCTTAAAAACAAGGGTCTTTCCATTGAAAATGTATGCAATGCTCCTTGAATTCCACCAAATGCATTAGCTGTACAAATAAAGAACAAGGCTCCAAATCTATTTTGCAATCCTTCATTATATTCACCCAACTAAAAATATATTTGATAAAATATACATCTGAATAAACAAGCATCAACATAATGGCATTCACAATAGATTAAAATATTTTCAATTTTACATCCATTGGATTTCTGATTTCATTCAAAAATGATCTTTAATAGATAAGTACAAATTATTAGATGAATCCAATGTGAAATCCAGTATCATTTTCTTTAATTAAAGCAGTTTCATGAGTTTCCTAGTTCCTTAATCATGTTTGAAGTCTTGTAATTTTGAATGAATCCTTCTAATCTCTATTCAAATTCAGCTTTGATTTAAGCCTCATCGAAATCATCAGACTCTCCTGCTTGTATCTTTTCGACTAGTAGTCCTTCCTCATTCATCAATTTCATAAAGTAATCTGAGGGATTAGAGAAGTTAGGACATTGATATCCCATGGTAGCAAAATAGTCAATAGCTTATTCAGCATCTCCTTGGTAGATAATGTTTCCTCTAACCAAAAGCATAAGTCTATCAAAATTATTAAAGATTTCAGATGAAGGTTGATGGATGGTACTTACTATTGTACGTCCATTTTTGGCCAATCTCTTGAGTAGATCAATAACTTATAAGGCAGTCGAGGAATCCAAACCAGTGGTAGGCTCATCTAAAAAGATGAGACTTGGATTTGTTAATAATTCAACTCCTATACTTGCCCTCTTTCTTTCACCTCCTGATACTCCTCTGATCTATGTATTGCCTACTCTGGTGTCTGCACATTTGGTGATTCCCAATTCTCTAATCAAAGCTTCTACTCTTTAAGCTTTTTCCTCTGCACTTATTGTCAGTCTCATATTGGCTGAGAAATAAAAGGCCTCTAAACAATTTAGATTATGATATACCTCTAGGTGAGAAGGTGGCTAATAATATATCATCTTGCATGACATAGGCCATCTGATCATTAAATTTGTCAATGTCATTAATTCTCTTTCCATTTAAGGATAGTTCTCCTGATATTTTTAGATTGTCAGATATTAAACGACCTGACAAAAAGTTTAATAAAGTAGTTTTTCCTGATCCTGATGGTCCTAAAATAGCAGTGAAATGAGCAGGTTTCATCACACCTTTAAGATTGTTAAGTAAGCATTTCTCTGTTGTAGTCTTATATTTATTATTAGGAATTACCTTTCCGACTTTGATGGTGGCATTTATTATAAGTTTATCCCATGCTAGTTCAATTGGTGTAAATTTTCCTAAAGAAAATTCAGCTCTATTATCTGTGTTTACTAACTGTTCTTCTCGGTTTACTACAATCTAAGACTATATTACCTATTGTTTAAAGTTTATCTGTCATTCAACTAAAATTATTAATGGCATTCAGAATTATTCCTAAAGCTTTATATTACTAGAATTGATAAATTCTGAATTTGGAATTCTTTAATTCCTACTAATTATTTTAATATAAATATTCTAAATTAAATTAAAACACTAAAATAAATTAATTTATTCGCCTTTAAATTATTATTAGTAGCATAATTGATATTCATCAATTGTTATTCAAATTTAAGGCAAATAGGTTTATATAGGAGTAAGCATGATTAAATTGATAAAATCTATCAATATGATAACAGCCTATCGAAGTGCTTTCCATATAATTCGTATTTTTTCATTAGGACTAATTAAAGATTATAATAGCAATAATTTATATGGTGCTTCTCTTGATATATGTGAATAATGAAGAAAATTAAAAATAATTAATATAGATGTATAAAACTCATTTCTTATTTCCCTTGCCTTTTTTCTTGGCTTATTTTTTATCAGTTTTCGCCTCTTGAGGATCCTCTTTTACCTCAGTTGGATCAACATTCAACATTAGTTTGCTTGTCAATTTTATAAACTGCTCAATCTCATCCACGTTTCTTGATTTGAAGATGCAATGCTTTTTATCATCTGTGACTGTGAGTAAGGCTACTTGCTTGATTTTATAGTATTTAACTTTTGCTCTAGCTTAAGGCGATTCCATAAGTAGATCCAAGGCTGCTGTCATAAATGAATCCCACGATTTTAGCATTATATTATTTAAATTAATGGACCAATAATTAACAGAAGATTAAATTGCCAACTACAAAGAAGCTTTCTCTCTCTTCGATAAAGATGGTGACAATAAAATTAAAGTATATACACTTGAGTTATATTTTCAAAGGTAGATGACTTGGGATTATTAATTCGGTCATTGAATTAAAACCCAACAGAGGCAGAAATAAGCGAAATGAAAAACGATGTGGATCCAGATTCTACAGGAATGGTTGACTTTCCTGAGTTTCTGAGTTTGATGGCAAGAAAACATAGAGATGTGGATCCAGAAGAGGAATTAATGGATGCATTTAGAATATTGGATAAGTCTAATAAAGGAACAATAAATGCTAATGAGTTAAGACATATGGTCAAATCCATGGGGGAAAGATTGACAGAGGAAGAAGCAAATTAATTAATTAAAGAAGCAAATCCAGATAAAGATTTGGAAATCAGATATGAAGACTTTGTAAAATTGATTACAACAAAATACATTTTATGAAAGCTGTTTTATTGTCAAGCAGTTATATTATAAATAAATATAAAATGAATAGTAATTCATTAAATTAATCTAAAAAGAAATCAAAATCCTATGATTCTTATTAATAGTTAAGAACTGTTCCTTGAAATTCGATAGTTAATATTTCATTTGATTCCTAAAATACTGCTTAAACAGCATTTAATTTAATTTGGATCAGAACATTATTTAGTCTATATATCTAATCTACTTGATGTTAATATTTTCTAAACAGGCAAGAAAGATTATATTAAAATTAATGGTATTTCACTTTAATTATGACGCCTTGATATCTAAAAATAAATTCAACTTAAAATAATAAGAAAAGAGTTGAAAAAGGTAAGTGCATACATAAGTAACCTTTAATAGTAGACTATTCTTTCTTACTAATCAAAATAATGTTGTAATAAAAAGAAATAATCTATTATTTAAATTTAGTCACTTTTAATAAAGCATAAGTAAATTTAAATACTTATAAAATTTTGTTATTTTTTTAAACATAGTCAAACTTATAAACTAGAATGATTTGACAACTAAATAAAAAAATAAGTTGGATATTTCTAAAATTAACTAGAGAATTCTTAAAATTGAATTATTTTTGGTGAAAAGTAAATGATATTATTGATAACCAATAATAATGATATCATTTTTGCTTGAAATAGAAAATATAGTAAGTTTCTTATTATTTTTAATTTCATTTGTTGAATGGTAGTAAATAGAAAATAAGAGAAATCTGTACAAGTCTAAAGTGTAATATCATAGGGAATAATGATTAAGAATTTAAAATTATGAGGTATTTATAGAGATAAAATTGTTATGATTGAATTAATAATATTAATCAAGATTGTATTTCTGAAATGATTTGAATTTTTTATTATTGCATTTACTTTCCTCTATATTCAACTTAAATCTTATCTTCTTCTCTATATTTTGAAGAGTCGTTAACTTCATTTAAATGGTTCTATGTGTTTATTGGACTCTTTATATATATAAGAATTCATATTTACCTGCATATATTCTTTAGGCTCATAGACACATTACTTTAATTCTAAAAATTTCAGTTAAGTTATACAAGTAAGAACATTAACAATGTTTTTCAAAAAATTTTGCCTAATTATAAATTTATAAAGAACCTTCTAAATGGATTCTTACTCTCTACTATCCAATGTTTCTTTAAATACTCATTCGTTGTCATATTAGTGAACACTAAATAAGTATGAAACAGCCACAAACCCACAACAAAACACGAAAACTATAATAATAAATGTTGAGTATTACTCCAAAAGAATAAATAACAAGTATTATGCTTACAGGATTATGAGCCAGGGCTTCTGAAATGGCATCTGATGTTCCCATAGTTGCTGATCTCTTCTTAGATTCATCAACAATATATGAGAGACATACACCAAACACAAAAATCAGCTTAAAGGATACAGACATGATGAAAAAATAAAAATAGATGTAGTTCCTTCTTCCAATACATTATCCAATCCAAGGACAATGATGATCAAACCTAACAACACAATTATCGCAAGAAGGACAATGAGAGGCTCGAGCAGGTCGATAGATAGCACCTAATTTAATATTAATGGTGTACAAGTTGCACAATACTTTAATTTAAATTAGTGAGCTTTTATTGTAAACATTTTTGAGTCCATGATAAATCTGTAATCGACTTTTGAATATTTCTAAGGCACCTCCAGTAGTTCCTCATTCATTTCATATTCAGGTCTCTTTTATCTCTAAAATTATTACTATCTTTGGTATGATTCCGGGATCCATGCAAACTGTAATCGATAGAAAAACATATATAGTTATTTAGATCAACACAAATACTACTGTATAACCATTCTATCCGCTTTTTGCAAATTCCTAATATTTTGATATCGTTTACAGGAGACATAAATATATAAAATAGTATTGAAGGAATTGTTATAAAACTAACACTAGCTATTAATTTATGATTTTCAGATCTACGATTAATTTTGTTAATACCCTGTGAATAATTTCCCGTTGCAGAGGATTTTATTCTCAGTTTACCAAATTTGATATAAATATCTGGAACTTTTTGAATCCTTGTATTTTTTTTTTTACATTAATTTTATTATAAGTAAATTCAAGTTTATTATATTAATTCAAATAATATATTCTAAATATATCAAGTCATTAACCTTTCCTGCTATTCATGTACTTTAGTATTCTTAATTGATGCTCATAAACTGGAAGGTTTTGATAATTCAATTTTGATTTTTTATATGTGTTAAATTAAAAACAATGAAAGTTAAATTTTAATACTCTAAAATTCTTGAAGCCTTAAATAGAAACCTAATCAAACCTAAAAAACAAGTGGAAATTAGACTTGATAGATTGTCCATGGATCCTCATCGTTATTGGATAGCAGTTGCGAAAGGAATGGAAAGACCTTTTTCAGGAGAATTTTGGAATGTACATTTTTCTCAAATAAGCAAGCATGATCAATAAGGGGTTTACGAGTGTTTTCATTGCAATAATACATTGTTTTAAAGCGATCACAAATATTAAGCTTAAACAGGTTATGCGTCATTTTTCTAGCATCACAAAAATAGTGTGAAAACCATTGAAACTAAAGCAAAATATGTAATATTATTACAATACAGAGGTATTCAGCTCTCCAATGCATGAATTGTTAATCCTATATTGGATAAATTTCATAGGACGGACCACCTCCAACATTCTTAAGATATTCAATTAATTCAGGTGCTTTGAGATTTTATCAACCAAAAAAAAATTAAACAAATCTAAATTAATCATAAAAATGATTATTGAGGATATATTGATTATGTAAATATTCAAATCTTATCAGTTTAATGTCTCTTGCTTATTCTTATAACTTTACTCTATATAATATGAGATTATGCTCTTTTGATCTATTATTATCCTCTCTTTTGGTTAATTAGCATCTCTAAATCTTTTTACTATTCTTAAAGGTTATAAGAGATAATCGGTAGATATTCAATAAATAAAGGGTCCTACAAGGCAGCTTTTATGAGAGATGAGACATTCTTTAATATTGAAACAATCAAGTTCCAGATCTTAAGAAAATTTTGTTCCTCATTTTCCAATCTTTCCAATGCCGGTTTGAGTACCTAACTAGAATCTTTAAGTTTCTTGCAATAATTTTACACTGGAATCGGTGCGGTCTCTAAATCTCCTATTAACTCAATATTTTAATTGCATTAGTGAGCCACTAAGATGAGAGGATGCTCACAACTTAATAGTTCACAAGTAGATGCAGTTGGAGAAATCTTAAATTTTTCAGTGGAACAAGTTGTACCCATTGAAAATTTAATATTTTATAAACTAAATCTAATATGAACGAACTAAATGACTAATTTTTTTGTTAAGAAATTTTGAATATTGAACTCATTAAAGAAATGATAATTTTATGATTTATTCATTATTAAATCGGACAACGAATGACTATTAAATTCATTTATAGTTATATATTATTTTTAATATTTGTGATTTTTAACATTCTGCTCTATTCTATCTTAGAAATATTTATCAAATTATTATCTTTAAGACTACTTATATCTTTTTATATATGAAATTTATTTAATATTTATTCTCTATTTTCTCCTCAATTTAAATTAGTAATTAAACTACGAAACTCAAAGAATGGATTTGAAATATTTAATGAATTTGAAATTAAGAGATTAATTATTGTGCTCTAGCTTTGATATCGCCGCAGATTTAGGAAGAAAAGGTTGAAAAACTTTAAAAATCTTAAGAAAATATTTATTAAATCTTTGTATTATATAAATTAGATATATGAAATAGAGATAAATAAAAATAATTGTCCAGATAAATAGATTATATTAAATAAAGAGGAAGAAGATAAATAATCTGCTAATCTTATTGCAATTATTTATAATACATTAATTCTTAATAAAATACATTAAAATTGTAATCAAATACAATCAGTAAAAGTCTATGTATTATTTAATTTAAATTGATATTGAGGCTATCAATAATTTATATTATTATCAATTAAATGATTTTAGGATAGCAAAAACTCACATTGATAAGAGTATTTATAACTGGTTTTATTAATAAATTATAAACATTATGATGTAAATTTTAATGTTTGGTGTGGTTTAAATAAAAATCGAGTATTATTTTGAAATAATTTGTTTAATCATTAATATATATTTATTATTATTCTAAATCAATTTAAAATGCAACTCTCATAAGTTGGGATCATGTATTTAATATTTATATAGGCATCCTATTAATTTATCAACTAAATGTCTTACTTCTCCTCCTGTTTACTCAAATAATTCTAATGTTTCTTAAATCAAGTCACCAACATTGACTCGTTTCCTTTGGTTGTACTCAATAAAATCTCCTAAATTCGAATTTCTATTTTTATATAAATTCATAATAGGCAATAGTTGTCTATAGTAGGGTACTAATTATGTATTTCTAAGTATTTACCTAATGCCTCCCCAACCATTTCTCCACTCAACACTAATTTTTGTAATACCTTTAATTGAACTTCCATTATACTTGGGTCTCTAGTATTCAAATTTGCTATTATTGTATGACTTTAAATTACTTTTGATTGGAATAATCAATTATGGAATGACTGGCAATATTTTATTACCTCCATTTTCTAGTAATCCATATGTTCCTAATATGGCCAAGAATCTGTAAGGATCCATTTTTTCCTAATTTTTAAATTATCAAAATACTCTTAATCCATCAAAAAAGATTGGCAAATAATGATGATAATCCAATTGTTCTGGAGATATTTTCCATATAATTCTATTTACACTTCCTTAATGATCAACCTATTGATATTTTCAAAATTAGAACTTTAATAGGCAAATCCCCTCGATCATAATATCTCCTGAAATCTGAAACTGATATTGTTCTTTAATCATATGCTCCTGCTTTTGGTGGTGCAGGCCTATATTCTTCTTTCTTCTATAATTATGAGCTTGTTCTTCCTCCTGTTCCTTAATGAGTTCCTTAATATTTATCTAATCATTCTCAACAACTTCTTTACTTGTTATTAATGCATTTTATGAAGTCTCATGAACAGGTTCAATTACTTTTTATTAATTAGCCTTTTCTTTTGGCAAATATTCTTTTGGAAAATCTCCAAATGGTGAATGAGGATTCTTTGGAGCATATGGGGTTTTCCATGCTTTATAATTCTGAATATAATTCAATATATGTTTTACTTAATTTTCTTGCTTTTTCAGTATATTCTTTAGATGATCTTCTACAATCTATTGAGAAGCCAAATTCTCTTTTCTTCCAACTGTTTATCCTTATATTTTTGGAAGCATTAATTATTTAATTTTATTTATAAAATAATTCCAATTAAACATACTTATCAAGGGTGAAGAAGACTGAACATAGTCACACTGAAGAACCACTGTAAAAGTTATATCTCTATCTTGCTTTTTTTATCTTAAATGAAAACAATTTTTAATCTTTAAATTAGCCTATGTATTAGTTAATATAAAGATTTTGATTTGATTTGTTTCCTATGTCAAAGCTTTAAGTTAAAATTCTAATTAATAAATTTATCATGCATAATAAATTTCTGTTTATGATGAATTACTACTTATTTAAATACAGAAACTCAAACAAAACTAAAAGAGCTAAATAATTTTATTTTTAAACTATTAAATTACATTCTATCTAAAATCAATTAATTATTTTTATTCAAATATATCATATGACCAAAAAGTTCGTCTAGATATTATTTAAAGTGTCTTCATTTTATTCGATATTTATATTTAATGGAAATATTTTGTCTTCAGATTTTCTAGAAATTCTTTGCAGTAACACTCATAATTTATAGAAGATATAGATCTTTAGTAAGGTTCAATTTAAATAATATATATGTAAAAATTGATAAAGCAATTTTGGTTTCCAATAATCTTGTAATAAAATGTTTGGAAATTCAATTTTACTGATGAATTAAAAAGAATGCGATTACTTGGAAAGAAAATAATTCTATGGAGTGATTGAGTCAATATTCAACTAGGATTAAAAGGCAAGCTAAAAATGCTTTATTTCTATTGTTTTTTAAATGGACAGTTTAATTCTTCGCTTCCCTGATTAGAATTGATTAAAATTACATAATAATTATGTTCAAAGTTAAGATTCTCCAATTATTTGATTCTTTTGTTCTTAATACCGTTGGCCCATACTACAGGAGATTAGGAAAGAGCTTGTTAACTCAGGGGAATGACATGTTGGGAAGTGAAGCAAGCGATGATCGTTTAGTGTAATGTTTGAGATAAGTGGAAGCAAAGGGACATAAACCATAGATTGGAGATGCCATATTCACAGCCCCAAATTCAGTAATGGTTGGAAATGTGATTTTAAAATAAAAGTAAGGTTAAGAAATTGATTTGATAGCTCATCCATTTGGTATGGGGCAACATTAAGAGCAGATAATAATTCAATAACAGTGGGAAAGAATTCGTTAATTTAGGATAATGTGTACATAAAAGCAACCAAAACAATAACAGTTGGCAATAACTCTTTAGTTGGTCCAAATTCCCATTTGCAAGGATGTACAATAGGTGATGATGCATTTATTGGAATGGGATCAACGATTAAAGAAGGTGCAGTAGTTTAAGGCATTGTTGCAGCAGGTTCTCTTGTACCAGAAGGCACAGAAGTCAAACAAGGAGAAGTGTGGGCAGGATCCCCAGCTAAATATTTAAGGGATATTACTCCTTAAGAATTATAGATTTTGAGAGAATATAAATAAGAATTACTAGAATTAGCCTAAGTACATGGGGAAGAGACATCGAAGAATTTCAGATAAGTATGATCATCCATCCCATCCAATTAGGTTGTTATAGACACAGATGAAAGATTAATAAAATAATAAAGGGGTAATGAAGAAGAAGCCTTGTAGAAAATAGCTGAATTGAATTTCCCATTAGAATACGAGGATGAAGAATTTATTGAATAGAGAGTGTTTATGAAGTAACAACCACCTATGTTCATGGATTCAGAAAACTTGAAAAGCCAATAGGATTAATATGAATAAGATTTAAGCCAATTTTCAGAAAGTAAATAAATCTTTTGTATTCCTAGATATGTAGAAATACTCAGAAGATTATCAAATATATGAGGAAGCCAAGAAATACTTCGAATAGAATCCATAAGCAAAAGCCAATCAATTTGCACCAAAATCAGAAGTACCTGATGATAAACCTTGGAGTAGAAAGTATTGATTTAATCATGATATATAATACCACATAAAATGATCATATAACAAATTTTATTTCTTCTTATATAGGTTTATAAATGGTCTTTACTACCTTCTCTTAAGTGACATTTTTTTTCAAAATGTATTCTTTGAATTGATGAAAGCATTCTTCTAGATCATGATTCGTGAAGAAAGGATGTTAGAGCACTTATTCAACAGTCAACCTAACATTTGGATTCAAAACAAATATCTTATCAAGTAAATCGAGTAGTTCATCATCAAATGCCATGTTCATATTTCTTATTGAGGAAATAAACTTCCTATCATATTTTTAAGGGTGTAATTTTATAAAGTAATCTGATTTCATAATCTCTGGCCAAGATTCAGGTGTGGGTGTGCCACATTTTTCAAAAATCTATTAAATTTACTAAGCCTCGTCTTTGGCTTTAAATAATGGTCTATTGAAATTTAATTCGACCGCAAAGCATCCCATACTCCAAACATCTAATTAAAATGAGTATTATCCTCTTGTTAATAAGACTTCAGGTGCTCTATAACCTAAGGTGACAACCGTGGGGGTTTTCTTGACTCCCTCTATTTTGGGGCAAAACTTTGCTAATCCAAAATCTGCTATCTTGACTATTCCTTCCTCATTAACCAAAATATTTGCACTTTTTATATCCCTATGTATTATCTTTTAGGAATGAATATATTAAAGACCTTTAAAGCATTAATAGAGGATGCTACGAATTTGATTTGTTGAAAAATAAAACTTTTGTTATTCATTAGTAAACAATATTTTCCAAAAGTCATTTGCCATTAAATCCATAGCACAATATGTTTTTATTGTTTTTAATTTATTCTTGTTTTTTTTTACTCTCGTATATATCTACTTTATTTTTATTACATTCTCTTGATCTAGGGAAGTTAAAAATTTTATTTCTCTCAAAGAAGTTATTGGAAACTTAAATTATAATGAAATCATACTCCTTCTTTTTCATTTTGTTTCTTGATGCATTTTACAGCGTAATACTAATTATCAAATTTGCTTTTCATTTTGAAAACCTTTCTATAATGTTATATTAACTCAATAATTACCCATAAGTCCCTTTTCCCAAAATTTCCCTAGTCTTGGTCTCGAATTCAAATTCTGCACAAATATCTGCACTCTTCAAATCATCCACTCTTTCCAACTATTAATTGAGTTAATTTATCATTAATTAATTAAATGAATTAGTAATAAATTATCCTATAAAATTTGAGGGAAATCATACGAAAAAATAGAATTGATTTAACCATCAAGTATATTGAGGTTCTCGTTTACGCTGTAACTATTTGCTTCATCCCGAAGGATATTCAGTTGTACAAATTTTATAAGAGTTCATTGATTGTTTTTATTCAAGTATGCAGACCATATTATATAAGGGGATTGCTTTAACTCACTATTACTTACATATTATTTACCAACACAAAAAATAGATATAAAATTTTGGCTACTTTTGGAGTTTACCATTTAATAATCTCGAATCCTATAATCATAAAGAATTAAACAATAGCATTATCCTGTATCACAAAGATTTCTTGGTCATGAGAATAGCCAATTTAGTGTATTCATCTTCATTTTTACTTAGTTTTGAGATTGTTCTCTTTTTATCGGCCCCTTATGAATTTTATAGATATTTAAAAACACCACTTAATTCATATTCTGCTTTAATTATTTTTGAAGTTTCCTTATACTTTGCTAGACGGGTTTAATTGTTTGTGTTTCCATCTTTACGTTTATTCAAGTTTTGTGTTTTACTCTTTATTTCGAAGTTTAGAAGATAAAATAGACCTATATTCTAGAATTAGAATTAAAATTAACCAACCGAAACTGTAGCTATTTAGTTACAAGAGAAAAGCTGTTCAGAGATTGATTTAGAATGTATTATTTGTTTATAGAAAATTACTGATAAGTATGTAATGTTGTAATGTGAACATTATTATCATAAAGAATGCATTGATCATTGGATAAAACAAAAGGAAATTTGCCCTTTATGTAGATCGTCTATTAATTGAAGCTTATATTTTATGTAATTTAATTAATGAATCCTTTAATTATATAATGATATCCTTCTTTTTCATACTTTTAACTTTAAACCTTTAGATTAATATTGTTCCAAAATATTTTAGGAAAATCTTAATAAGATAAGATATTTAAAAGGTTTTTGTAGTTATTAAGGTGAATTATTAATTCAATTAGAAGAGTGCTTGTAAATCTACAATTAAGTGGAATACATTTTTCGTTTCTTTTAGCTAAAAGAAATAGTTTTTATTTTACTAATTAGTCTTTTTATGTGAGAGTAATGACAAGATCAGAATTTTTTAAAATAGAATTTATAATTTTTCAGTAATTAAATTTATAGAGTTTAAAGGATATATCAAATTTATTACATTATCAAATTTATTACATTATAAGATAACATTATAGTATGGATATTTTTATTTCCAGAGATTTGAAATTCAGGTTCCTTAGAACTTATATAAATATAAATTAAATTATTTTAGCCTTTATTTAATAAAGATCTATTTATATCTTTTAAGAGTCTAAATATTAGGATACTTATTTATATAATAATATAGAATAATTTATTATTTAGAATGTAATCTGGCATCAAAAAGTTTATTTTGCAGATGTATGAAAATATTTTTGACTTATAATTATAATAAAGAAGAGATAGGAATTAGTTTATAAATTTCTGATAATTTCATAAATTGGGTAGTTTGAGAGGGTTGCTTCTCCAATATCATAGTATTTATTCTTGATAGAATGGATGGGATGAGCAACTAAAATGGTTTATTTTAAATTAGTAGCCTTAAGGGTAAAATTAATGGCCATGCAATCAGAGCTACTGCTCATGGCCTCACCAATAAGGTTTTTGAGGCAAGATGTCGAATCATTTATCAGTTGAGTACCCACTACTTCTCTTGTTGAGGAGGCTCGGCTAAATGAGCTCTGATCTTGTAAGGATAATCATACTATTTCGTTTGAATGATTATACTTAGGAGATCACTATAATATAGTTTTTGTTATAGTAAATATTAATCATACAAAAACAAGCATAGGCCTC